ATTCTTAAAGTATCAATAGTCGAGCTTTACTGTGAAGTAGGACAACCTTAAACCATTAAGACTATTATGTAGATAGACTAATTATAACATATCATGGATCATGGATAAGGAGTTATCAAGTCTTAACATATGTATGAATATTAGGAGTAATATTTATACTGGATTGACCTGCTATGAGAGTGCTACATAGAATGTTATGCAAAGTGTCATAAGCTACTCTCATGGTGATAGTGGTGTATATCATCCTTCGACCTGAAACCATTATGGATCTTAGATGTAGAGTCGAATACTTCATTGGTGATCAAATTTTGTTCATAACTGAATGACCATAAAAACAGCTGATGGATACTACGTAAAGCATACTGAGGGACATGAGTGACCTAGATGGAATTTCCCCATCCTGCATAACAGGGTAAATATCCAAGGGTACAATATTGAATTGGACAAGGATGACACGATATGTGCCTTGTGTTCAATATAGACATAAGGGCAAAAGGGTAACTTTACACACAAGTATTATCACAAAAGGTTTTATCATATCACATGACATTTTTGTGACTTGGATAATAGTGATGTGTTGCTAGATACCGCTCACTATTTATTATGTTAAATGTGTGATTTAATATAATTGTCAACGTCGCGAAAACCTACAAGATCACACAAGTAATGACAGGTTGGTAAGAGGTAGAGTAAATAAGGAACAACGTAAGGTACAATGCACTTAAGTAGAATACAGAATGTGGTAAGGTACCACGTGCTTATGTGATGTATAGTACACCATAAGATATGGTGTGCGTACACTTAAGTAGGTTTTTTAGCTTGCAGCCCACACAAGTGGTTCTATAAATAGAACCCTTGTGCAGAAGCATACTCTCTTGATGAAACTTCAGACCGTGAAACCCTGACCATATTTCCTTCTCTCTCTCTCTCTTACTCAAAGCCTTCAATCGTAGCAGCTAGCATTGGAACTGAAGGAATTTATTCGTGTGGTATGAGTATAGGCGTTGTTCATCGCTCAACGCTCGTGATCACTCATTTGATTCAGCATCAAAGGTTTCATTGCCACAAGATGTAACAGTTTCTATCACTGATCATGACCATTCGTAAGAATCACTAAAGGGGAATTTTTTAATTTATGTTGTGTTTTGGATCGCGATTTCCCTTCAGGTATATCGGAAAATACGACAACGGCTCAGTATTCATGTTCTAGAGGAAAGATTGAAAAAACTTATTAAATAATTAGAGATCTACTTGAGGTAGATATCCACCCCAAAGTAAGAATGAAGACGAGGATTCTTGACCTTAGTAATAAAAAAAGTGCCTCGCCGAAACATTAGACAGAGCAATTCTATAAAAAAAACAAGGGTTGGCCTCAACCTACTCCCCTAGAAAGTCGACCACCTTACTACATATCAACAAACAATTTTAAAGCTGGGTACTGCAACTTCCACCTCAAAGTCCCGGAGAGAGACAAGTACAAAAGACCTCAAACGTCGTCCGACCGAACAAAGAGCTTCAAAGCGTGAAGTACACTCAACTTAGAATCCTGAAAAGGGACAACAACCAGACTCCAGATATTATTCATCTAAGTCAGAATCGTCGTTGAAGATTTATCTACCTGACTATTTAAGCATTTATTCGTTAAGAATTCAAATTATTATTACCAAGAATATATATATATATATATATATATATATATATATATATATATATATATATATATATATATATATATATATATATATATATATATATATATATATATATATATATATATATATATATATATATATATATATATATATATATATATATATATATATATATATATATATATATATATATATATATATATATATATATATATATATATATATATATATATATATATATATATATATATATATATATATATATATATATATATATATATATATATATATATATATATATATATATATATATATATATATATATATATATATATATATATATATATATATATATATATATATATATATATATATATATATATATATATATATATATATATATATATATATATATATATATATATATAAACTACCACAACAAATGCTAAAGACATCAAGCGAATATTACAATCAAGAAGGGTATCCAACATCATTAAATGCGTAGAGTCACAAAGAAGTGAGAAATTCCATAACCACTTTTGCCATATCGTTGCAGTCAAGTGCATCATTTCTTTTATAAAGCAAATCAATAAAGGCTCTCATGCCCATAACAAATACTCTACCATCGCCAATGAACACCAATGGATCGACCTAAACTCTCAAGTGAATAAAGACTCCACATAGCAGAAAACTAGCCTTGGAGTTACAATAATTTGTAAACGATGACATTTATAAAGCAAAAGATAGCAGAAGGCTTTAAAGCTAACAATACTTGAAACATCAAGGTCAAATATTTCATTGAAAATAAAAAATTATTACACCCAAGGCATAAAAGTTTGGGAAGCATTGCAGAAAATAAGCAATACATGCAAAAAGAAAATCATGCAGGAGCATTTGTAGTCGAGAATTAAGAAGACGGAGATTGCTTGCAATCTTTTGAGAACTGTGATTCACGCCACACCGGAGGATCTCTTACCGATCGTTTATCTCTTCTCCGGCAGTATTGCTCCACCACAGGAAGGGTTGGAATTGAGAATCGGAGAACCTACTATTAACACGGTGATCGCAGAAGCTTATGGTACCACTGAGAAACGCATCAAAGAGTGGATAAAGGTTTTTTTTTATTGCCTCTACTGGTTCAATTTGTTTTCTTCACACAACACAATCCAAAGAGCCTACAATACTCTATGATGCACTGTCACATACACCCCACACAACCCTGACATTCACACTTTCGAATGAACACATTAATTAAGATACGTAGCACCGACACCTATGAAGAAAGATACGTAGCACCTCTAAAAGTTGGATATAGGAAGCTGCTACTGTAATAGGTGTCTGTGCAATATAGTTATGAGTGCGTTATTATGACAATACCAACCTTTTCTCTATTATTTTTACTCTTATTAATTCTTTGGGTTTCATTTTGCACCAGGCTGAAAGTATTGTTAAAGAAGCATATTCTGTTTCTCCTGACTTTAACATAGTATCTGCACTTCTTACAGATGGTGTATGGCTACTTCCAAAGAAATTTAGTTTTACTGTTGGTAATCCAGTTCAGCCTATGCTGGCAAAACCAATCAATTGTGTATCTGATGCTCTAACAAAATTCAAGGATATAGAGATTGCATGTGAGTACAAATATGATGGAGAGCGTGCTCAGGTGATACACTGTTGTCAAAATTTCCTTCAGATATATGCTTCATCCGTCTCAAAATATATGTCACTTTGGCAATTGCACATAAATTAAGAAAAGTAGTTAGTTTTGTTTGAGAAAGAGAAATTTTGTGTTACTTTACAAAATTATCCTTTATTAATGGTATGAGAGGAAAATTAAAAGAATTAGAAAGAGAGAGAATAATTAATACTAAGGACTTAAATAGAGAAAACAACACTGATGCTTAATTGATATTGTAAAATGATATATAAATTAGAGCACACTTTTTTTGCAAGAATGATATTTATTGTGGGACGGAGGGAGTATATTTCTTATGATACTTATTCTGTGCAATAACATTAGCTGTACTGAGACAGATACATTATATGGAGAATGGCTCAGTTGAGATTTACAGTAGAAACTCAAAGCGGACCACTGGGGAGTTTCCTGATGTTGTTGCTGTAGTTTCCAGGTTAAAAAAAAAATTGAAATATGAATATTATACTTGTGGTTTGATAACATTTTTCTGGGCCAGCTATGTGCATTTCATTTACAACATGAAGCTCCATTGTATGAACTGTTATTGTTATAGGGTTTAGTCCTTTAGGTATAAGCATGAAGGAATGAAAAGAAATATACAAGAATAAATAAAATTACATTGACATGATGTCAAAAATATGCTTACTATCTAAAACCCTATATCTTCAACAATGGAATACAGTAGAAAGGTCAAAGGAGGCATTGATGAAACAGTATTTTAGAGAGAACCGAGCAAGAGCGGAAGTGGAAAGGGGATAGATACCCTTGGGGAGAGATAGTCTCTATTCTCTTCTTCTTTTCATATTTGTTCTTTCAATAAACCTTGTTATTCCAATCTGAACCTTGTACTGTATGAGTCCTACACCATCTCAATATGTTGTGATGCTATTGGAAAATTTCCTTGATTTAAGGCAAACTATCAATATAATGCAGAAAAAACCAAAAATTATCTAATGCTGTACACCTTGTGGACTTGTCCTTTCATTTTCCATAAGTAAATAAATTGTTATAATGTGATTTATTTCTTTCTGCAGATGTCTATTAATATTTAATTCTAACAACTCAGATTATAAGATTGTGAATATTAGAAACATGATGGAGAAAAAGGGGCTGGCGCCTCGGCAATAATTGTGAAGAAAATGGACTGTATCTGAGTATATAGTCCAGAAAATGGACCTATGTAGGTATCTGAGTATATAGTCCGGAAAATGGTCATCATCTTCACATCTATGCATTCTGTGGAAATTAACCTCCCCTTACTCCTTTTCACTTTGAACACATTTTTATTCTTATTTAAGGTTCTAACATGGGTTCAAACTAATTTGCATTCTAATCTTTCTACAATTTTTTGGATTTGTCACTTTATGTTCTGATTTTTTTAACATGAGAGCTTTACTTGATTTGATTAAAGCTTATTAAATGACATCTTTTGACAGAATTTATTAAGACATGAATGTGATATACTTTTAGTAAAATATATTTTGACAGAATTTATTAAGATATAAAATGCACTAATCCTTCATATTAATATTGCAATTAAGAACAAAACAATAAAACAAGGAAATGCATGAGCAATACATAAAGATAAAGTAATTGTAACATTGATCTCAATTACTTTCAAAATACCATAAACCATTCACTCTCTCAACACTTCAACCTCTGCTATGTAACCACCACAAGAGATTGGTCGATGAATTACACTCCTCAAACCCCTTTATATTAGTCAATGCAACTTTATTGTCATATATTCCCTGCAAGGCAAACACATATCCTTTCCATCCTTCATCAACACCTTGTCTTTTCAAAGCAGGCAATGCCCATTCAACAAGTTCCTTCACATACTTAACATCAGAAAACAAAATTTCAGAAATAGGAGTCAATGGTAAAACTTGAATACCAAGCCTAGCTTCTCTCGCCTCAGCCGGAGCAAACCATAATCCAGTGTCCCTCTTGTTAGACCAAAGAACTCCCATCATCCTATTCTCTTTTGTAAAATCTTTTTCATATAAACTCTCACCCTTCCTAACATGCCACCACATTTTTGCTGCACAGATTTCCAAAGCTGCAAGTGTTGATCCAATGGACACAACATGAGCATCACCATACGCCATTCCAAACAACGCCGCAGCATAATATGCATTCACAGCTTCACTACTGCTCATTTGATTCCTTCCATCTGCAAATTCAGTTAACCCTCCCGCCCATGAATGCAAATTGTAAAGATCAAAACACCTCAACCGTGGATAGTTTGAGTTCAGACTTGTGCTCAAGTTCATATAATCTTCCAATAGTGCATAGACTTGAGCCTTATACTTCCTACCCCAAGCCGGATCTATCTTAACAAGCACTGCAATTGCATAAACAAAATGTCCTAATGAATAATGATGATTGTTATAAATTCCAAATCCATACTCAGCATTAGAATCATTACACCCTTGTTTAGTAACAATGCCTCCCCACTTTTTATCATACAAAAATCCATTTCCTTTGAAAGTTCCTTCAAGCCAAGGCTCAATAGTTTCCTTCAAAAACTGCTTAACCTTAACCTTTGGAATCACATCATAGAAAAAAACCTCTTCAGCAATCAAAGCTAGCCTTGCAGCTCTTGCAATCAGTTTTCCAAAAGTATGACATGATGTTGTTTTTATAGAGGACGAATTCAAACCCTCTACTTCTTTGAAAAGTGATGAAACAATTTCTTCATGATGTTTTTCATTCACACCTTTTGTAGAGTACCAATTAATAGAAACAGGATCAGTTTTCAAAATCCATGAACCACCAACAATCCCAACAAGCTCACCATCAATGCTTTTATATTTGAAATCGTTCAGAACAGTAACATTATTCATATCATTCTTAGATAAAAGGTGAATATGAAGAGGGTGTGCTAACATCAACAAATCACCCCAACCTTTCTTCTCCCATTTATACTCAACACAAAATGGTTCTCTTAGTATAGCATCACCTGACACAGGATAGCAGAAACAGTACTTGTCAAGAACAGCCTCATGTTTCGAGTCAGAATCCGGAAGCAAAACTATCCGAATGGTGCCTGAAAAGGCCTCAGAAGTGATCTCAGAACGGCTATGAGACAACTTTATTTTGATCGAAGAATATAGTATCCATGCTTGATTGTTGTTAAACCGGATAGTAAACTTTGTAGATGAATCATTTGATGAGAAGTAAATGATATCATGAATGGTTGATATCGAAAGAGGAGATGGTTTTGTTACAGAAAGAGTGACATAAGGACTTCCTCTAACAAGAAAGAAACTCATATTGATACAAGGAATGTCTAAGGTGACACTGAGGTCACTATAGGAAGAGATGACATGCTTTTCATTGGAACCTTTTTGGTTATCTTTTTTGGAGGAAGTGATTGTGAGATCAGGTTTGAATATTTGGGATATGACTTTGGAGTTGGAAGAGCGAGATGGATATGAGACAGAAAGTGATGAGTTAGATGATTTGATGAGATAAGGATGAATGTATTCAGGTTGGTCACCATTTTTGAGAACAAAGTTTTGGAAGAATGAGTTAGTAGGGAGGGGTGTGGATAGAAGATTTGGAGAGAAGTTGGAGGGGTCAGGGAGGACAGTGGAGTTAGCTTGAGGGAATAGAAAAGGTTTGTTGTTTTTGTTGTTACTAGTCGACATTGCAACTGATAAGAGTGATATTGGTGTTATTGAAAGACTAAGACGTTGTTTAAGGTTGTAGTAATGATAATGGTTATGGTGATGGAGAGTTTTTATAGTAAAATGTTTGGAAGGTGAAGGGTTTGTGTTTTGTGTTATTGGATGGTTTTAGAGGTTGGAGGTAAAGTGTACTATAATATATATAGGTTTAATGATGAACACGGTGTTACTAGCTGTCCCTAGGAGAAGCCATGCTTCAAGAGTTTCAAACTTCCTTTTTACACTTAACCATTCAGTTGCTATATTTTCTTTGTTAATGAAAGAGAGAACATAATTTACATTTACTAGTAGTACTATTTTAAATAAGTATATTTTTATAAAAGAAATATTTGCATGTTGAGTTTTGAAAATATCTTGTACAAGGAATAAGTAAAGAGTGCAAAATGGTTTGAAGTAAAAGGGAGTTTTTAATTACTATTATTATCGTTTTTGTTAAATTATGACTATGGTGTCACACAAATTGTTTCTTGTTAGAATTAGTAGTAATTATGAAATGTTGGTATGGAAAGTTGTACTAACAATCTACTAGTCTTGCATCTAGGAAATAACATCCATTCAACTAGGAAATAACATTATTATTTCATTGTAATAGTAAATTGCATATATACTAGTAAATGGATAAGTTGAGTAAAAATCACTCAAGCATTTCACAAATTTCTTAATTCTCCATTAAAGTCTTTTAACATATATCAAGAGTCTCTTATATTCTCTATTGGTTTCTATTTAGTCAAGTAGAAATAGAACCCTTGAATCTTCCTCGGTTTGTAAAAAAAAAAATTAATTTCTTAAAGTCACTGTTACCCTCATTTTCTAGTCTCAATCTCTAGTTCTTACTTGCTAATCTACTATGATTTTGAAAGAAAATGGATAGTCCTCAATGCATATATTGCAAAAGATGAAGAGGTTTGCATTAATATATTCGAAACCATGAAGTATTCTAAAAATAGAAGTGATTGTTTTAGAATTGATGCAATAGATGAGGTGATTGAAGAGGTCAAAAGTTAAGTTCATGTTTCTACCCCCTTAGAAATTTTTTTTACTAATGATCTACAAAGTCTCAATGAGAACGAAGAAACAGAAATTGAAAAGTGTTTGCGAGAACTTGAGAAATTGGACGAAATTCCTCCATTGAAAGAACGTGTGGAAATTTTGAAAAAAGAAAATAATGAAGAAATCAAGCTTGAATTAAAGTTGTTATCATCTCATTTAAAATATGTGTTTCTTGATGAGGGAGGACATAAACTGGTTATCATAAGCAATGAACTAACCACGAAGGAGGAAGAAAGATTGATTTGTGCGTTGAAAAGAAATCAAAGTGCCATAGGTTAGACTCTTTCCAATTTGAAAGGAATAAGTTCATCCTATTGTATGCATACGATATTAATGGAGGATGACTTCAAACCGGTAGCTCAACCTCACGTCGCCTAAATCCTACCATGAAAGAAGTGGTTAGAAAAGAGGTGGTGAAGATGTTGGATGCGGGAATGATATATCATATTTCTAATAGTCCTTGGGTTAGTCCAGTGCAAGTGGTACAGAAGAAAGGTGGAATAATGGTTATCCGGAATGAGAAGAATGAATTAATATTGACAAGAACCGTGATCGGGTGGAGGATGTGCATCAATTACCGTAGGCTAATGCTAGAGAGACTTTCTAGTCAAGAATTTCATTATTTTCTATATGGTTATTCGGGTTACAACCAAATTATTGTTAACCCGAAGGACCATGAGAAAACTTCTTTCACATACCCATTCAGGATCTTTGCTTATAGGAGGGTGCCTTTTGAGTTGTGTAATGCGTCGACTACTTTTCAGCGGTGTATGCAAGCAATCTTTTCAGACTTGATTGAAAAGTCCATTGAAGTTTTCATGGATGATTTCTTGGTTTTTGGATCGTCATTTGATCTTTGCTTGAAGAATTTCGATGTTGTGTTGGAAAGGTGTGTGGAAACAAATTTAGTGCTAAATTGGGAGAAATGCAACTTTATGGTTACCGAGGGAATTGTGCTTGGCCACAAAGTTTCCTCAAAAGGCCTAGAAGTTGATCAAGCAAAAATGGACGTTATCGAGAAGTTGCCACCGCCTTTGAATGTGAAAGGAATAAGAAGCTTCCTTGTTCATGCAAGATTCTATCGGAGGTTCATAAAAGACTTCACCAAAATTGTAAAGTCTTTGAGCAACTTGCTCAACAAAGATAAGTCTTTTGAATTTGATGATTCTTGCATGATTATGTTTAACTCTTTAAAAGAAAGTTTGAAAACTGCACCCATAATCATCACGCCTAATTGGAAACTAGATTTTGAATTAATGTGAGATGCGAGTGATTATGCCATGTGTGCGGTATTAGGTTAAAGAAGGACGTACAATTTTCATGCTATACACTATACGAGTAAAGTTTTAAACGAAGCTCAAATAAATTATGTCACAACTGAAAAGGAGCTTCTCGCAATAGTGTATGCATTGGAAAATTCCGGTCTTACCTCATTGGTTTTAAAATGGTTGTTTACACGGACCATTCGGCGATTAAGTATTTGCCAAGCAAACCGGATTCTAAGTAAAGGCTTATTAGATAGGTCATTTTGTTGCAAGAATTTTATCTTGAAATTCGCGACAAAAAGGGTTCCGAGAATTTGGTAGCGAATCACTTGTTCCCTCTTGTTAACGTGGAAGTAACCAAACATGAAATTGAGGTTAAGGAAGAGTTCTCGGATGAAAAGTTGTTAATGATTCAAGTTAGGCCTTGGTTTGTCGACATTGCAAATCACAAAGCCGCCGGAGTGATACCGAAAGGTCTAACTCGGAATCAAAGAAAGAAATTTTTGTATAATTCCGAGTATTTTGTGTGGGATGAGCCTTATTTGTTTAAACTTGGTGTTGATAATCTTTGAGAAGGTGTATTACGATTGAAGAGTCAAAAAGAATTCTTTGGCATTGTCACAACTCACCTTATGGTGGCCACTTTAATAGGTTAAGAACGACAACAAAAGTCCTTCAATCGGGCTTTTATTGGCCTTCTTTGTTTAAAGATGCACACTTGAATGCTCAAAGTTGTGATAATTGCCAAATAAGTGGAGGAATTACCAAACGAAATGGGATGCCATTACAAAATATGTTAGAGGTGGAAGTATTCAATTGTTGGGGAATTGACTTTGTTGTCCCGTTTTCACCATCATTTTCTTGTGAATATATCTTAGTTGTTATGGACTATATGTCCAAGTGGGTGGAAGCGACAGCTTGTGCAAAAGCTGACAGTAAAACCGTGATCAAATTTTTAAAGAAAAATATTTGTTCACGTTTCGGTACTCCAAGGGTGTTGATAAGTGATGGAGGATCTCACTTTTGCAACACACAATTAGAAAAATATTTAGAGCATCATGGTGTGAAACACAAAGTTATAACACCATACCATCCATAATCTAATGGCCAAACGGAGGTATCGAATCGTGAGATCAAGAAGATTCTTGAGAAAACCGTGTCTTCTTCTAGAAAGGATTGGTCCTTCAAATTTGATGAAGCATTGTGGGCTTATCGGACCGCATTCAAAGCTCTGGTCGGTCTCACACCATTTAAAATGATCTATGGAAAAGCTTGTCACATGCCGGTAGAATTAGAGCATACGACTTCTTGGGCCTTAAAATTCTTGAATTTTGATCTGACATTAAGTGGTGAAAAGAGAAAAGTGCAACTGGTGAAGAAGTACCATGATGGGAAGATTGTCAACAAAAAGTTTAAAGAGGGGCAAATGGTGTTATTGTTTAATTCAAGACTAAAATTGTTTCGGGGAAAGTTGAAATCAAAGTGGTCCGGTCCGGATGAAGGAAGTCAAACATTACGGGGCAGTTGTTCTTGAAAATTCCTTGACAAATGAAATTTGGACAGTTAATGGTCAAAAGCTGAAAGTGTGTCTTAGTGGCGATGTTGATCGGAATGTGGCAACTGTTTCATTTTTCGATCTGTGAAGTCACTTTTGACCGTCGAGCTCAAACGTCGTTAAATAAAGTGCTAGTTGGGAGGCACCCCAACATTGTAAGTATTTACTGTTTTTTAGTGTATTAGAATTTAATCGGGTGGTTAAAAATCGAGTGAACCTAATTTGAGGCTACTTGAGTGGCCTTGTTTTTCTGTGCACGCTTAGCGCGGTACTATGGCCGCTTAACGCGTGTCGCTACTCGAAAAATAGACGACGTGAGGCGAAAAAGAAATAGGGTCGCCATTGAACTTTATTTATCCTAAAAGGGGAAGGGAAAACATCAAGAAAACCCCAAGAAGAAAGGATAAGATGGTCTCGCAACTAAATTATAGGTTCTGAAGCTGGTTATGCAAAGAGAAGATATTAGCACATCCCACATCCATCGTACTCGATGAGAACCATTTACTTGTCTCATGAGTAAGGATGTTGCTAAGGGATTGCTTTCTAAAGAGTGTTCTAAGAGGAAAAAGAAAAAAAAAAAGGAAGAAACAAAGATAAAAGAAGAGAATAAAGGAAAAGATGGAAAAAGAAAAAGGATGAAAAGAAAAGGTGGGGAAAAGAAAAAGGATGAGAAGAAAAGGTGGGTAAAAGAAAATGTGGAAAAAGAAAAGGTGGTACGCCAAGACTTTGCCGTCTTGTACCTACGTATTCCCTCGTGCAATGGAAAAGTCAGACTCAACATAGTTCTGAGGATTTTAACAAAGTATTAACAAGAATTTTCTTTTAACAAGATAATTAATAAAATTCTAAAAATAATATTAACAAAAATTATTAATGAATATAGTTAACTAAAATAATTAACAAAGTTAGTAAGAAATATTAATAAAAATATTAACAACATTAAACAAAATAAAACAAGATTATTAACAAAAGAATATTTAACAAGATATTTATCAAAGATTTCTTTTACAAAATAAATAATAAAAACATTGGCCAAAAAAATAAATAACAAAATTATAAAAAGAGAGGAAAACAAATGTATGAGAACAAAA